CTGGTTTGCCCTGAAGGGTGTCCTGGATCAGGGTGGGGGTACCCAGTGGGGTGCCTGGCCAGCCTGGGTGAGGGGATGAGGGCTGTTTTCAGGCTGGGACTGAAGCTCCCAACTGCTCTTTTTTTTAAATTCTGGGCCAGCTTTAGCTCTGAGGCTTGGCTCCAGCTCTAAGGCCTCAGCTGCTGAAAGTAGGTATCTGGCTTGTTTAGGTTCTATAATTGAAACTCTGTATCAACTCCAGCTCTGAGTTCCCAGCTCGCTGAAAGCAGGTTTCTGGGGTTTTGTTTAGCTTCTATATTTGTTACAATGTTCAAACTGCAGGCTCAGAGGCCGGCAAGGCAGGCGGGGAACGTTGGAGTCCTCCATCACTGAAGCAAGCAAGCCTCATGTTCAGTTTAAGCTGCCTGGCTGCCGGCCGCCATCTTGGCTGGCAGTTAATTTGCATATTGCCCTGATTAGCCAATGGGAAGGGTAGCGGTCGTACGCCGATTACCATGTTTCTTTTTTATTAGACAGGATAGGCACCGCCATCTTTGAGGGCTGGGCAGTCAATTAGCATATTCCCTCCTATTGGCTGTGGGCACCGCCATCTTTGAGGGCAAGACAGTCAATTAGCATATTCCTTCCTTATTGGCTGTGGGGGCCGCCATTTTGCGACAGTGTGAGGGTCAATTAGCATATTCCCTTTTTATTAGATAGGACAGGAAATGGGAAAAAAGTTTGATAAGATGTTCAGTGAAGAAAGCAAAATAGAAAATAGCCTGTAATTTCAACTTAGAGAAACTGCCCAAATGTGCAAAACAAGGGTAGAAAGAAAATATACAAACATGTTATATTTTAAATTAAAATCCTTTACAGTTATATTCTTTTTTTTGTTTTTACTTTTTAAAATATATATTTTTATTAATTTCAGAGAGGAAGGGAGAGAAAGAGAGAGATAGAAACATTAGTCATGAGAGAGAATCATTGATTGGCTGCCTCCTGCACACCCCCTGCTGGGGATTGAGCCTGCAACCTGGGTATGTGCCCTTGACTGGATTCGAACCTGGGACCCTTCAGTCCGCAGGCCAACACTCTATCAACTGAGCCAAACCAGTCAGGGCTTGAATGCTGGGGTCCCCAAAGGTATGGACAGAGTCAGCATAGAAGGAATGACATGGAGACAGCGTTCAGTTGATCAGCAGCCCAGCCAGGATCTCTAGCCAAGTTCTGGTTAGGATCTCCAGCCAAGTTGTGCTACAGTTATATTCTTAAATTAAAAAGGGTTATAGCCCTGGCGAGGTGGCTCAGTTGGTTAAAGTGTCATCCCATACACCAAAAAGTTGCAGGTGAGATTTCTGGTCAGGACACATACCTAGGTTGCAGGTTTGATCCCTGGTCCAATTGTGTATGGAAGGTAACCAGTTGATATTTCTGACATTGATGTCTTTCTCTCTCTCTCCCTTCCTCTTCCTAAAATCAATAAAAGCATACATATCCTTAGAAGAGGATTTTTAAAAAGTATTACAAGTGTTCCGTCTCATTCCTGAATAACTAGTCCAAAAGTCATTAGGTCACATTAAGGAAGCTTATACCATACTATCAGAACTGATGTGTATATTTAATAAAAATAAACATGGGATGTATTGGGATAAAGAGAATACTGAGCTCAGTCTCACAGAGAAACCAGAGACCCAAAGGCTCCCACACAGTGCTACGAGTTACATTGAGAATACTATAAAAACGACAGGGCAGCAAAAGCAGAGAGGAGGAGGAGGAAACAGGAATAAAATCAAAACAGCTGAGCTGAATTTTGAAAGCTGAGCTGGAGTTATCTAGAATCTACATGAAGTGGGGGAAAACAGGTATTCCACAAGGTACAATGTTCTGATGACACACAGGTATAAAGAACTATAGTTTTCATAGGGCTCAAGTAAAAGCTGCATGTGAGGGTGCAGCAAACATAATTAAAGTGATAGGTGGAGATCAGGATACAAAGGGCCTTGTACATGATGAAGCTTTGAATTATGAACCTTACTTTCAGAGCAATCTATACAGTAGATAGTAAAATGTGACCAAGGTTACATAAGAAGTTAACTGCCAAAGCCCATTCTTTTTAATTTAGATTATCATATTTTGTGATAATCCAGAAGAGGCAGGAGTTCGAAAAATATAGTCATCTTTTGGTGATTGGTTCTAGGACAAACACACAATACCATACCACTCCTCCTTTCCCCCCTGCAGAAACCAAAATCCACGATGCTCTAGTCCAGAGGTTCTCTACCTGTGGGTTGCAACCCCTTTGGGGGTCGAACGACCCTTTCACAGGGGTCACCTAAGACCATCAGAAAACACATATATAATTACATATTGTTTTTGTGATTAATCACTATGCTTTAATTATGTTCAATTTGTAACAATGAAATTGGGGGTCACCACAACATGAGGAATTGCATTAAAGGGTCGCGGCATTAAGAAAGTTGAGAACCACTGCTCTAGTCCCTTATATAAAACTAGAGGCCCGGTGCACAAAAATTTGTGCACTTGGGGTGGGGGTCCCTCAGCCAGGCCTGTGCCCTCTCGCAGTCTGGGACCCCGCAGGTGATGACCACCTGCTGGCTTAGGCCCACTCCCCGGGGGATTGGGCCTAAGATGGCAATCAGACATCCCTCTGGCAGCCCGGCAGCCCTAGGGGGATGTCCACTTGCCAGCGGGGAGCAGACCTAAGCTGCAGTTGGACATCCTTAGAGCTGCTGAGGAGGCGGAAGAGGTTCCCGCCATCACTGCTGTGCTGGCAGCCGTCAGCCTGGCTTGTGGCTGAGCAGAGCTCCTCCCATGTGAGAGTGCCCTGACCACCAGGGGGCAGCTCCTACACTGAGCGTCTGCCCCCTGGTGGTCAGTGTGTGTCACAGTGACCAGTCATTCCCAGTCCTTCTGCTGTTATGGTCAGTTTGCATATTATCCTTTTACTATATAGGATAGAGGCCTAGTGCACGGGTGGGGGCCGGCTGGTTTGCCCTGAAGGGTGTCCCGGATCAGGGTGGGTGTCCTTACTGGGGTGCCTGGCCAGTCTGGGTGAGGGGCTGAGGGCTGTTTTCAGGCTGGCAGGTGACTGAAGCTCCCAACCTCTCCTTTTTTTCTTTGTTCTGGGATTTATTTACCTTCTATGGCTGTCACTGGAGCTGAGAGCCGGCTTTAGCTCTGAGGCTCAGCTCCAGCTCGGAGACCTTGGCTGCTGAAAGCAGGTATCTAGGTTTGTTTGGGTTCTATAATTGAAACTCTGTTGCAACTCCAGCTCTGATGGCTGAAAGCAGGTTTCTGGAGCTTGTTTAGCTTCTGTAATTGCAACATTGTTTCTTAGAGTGCAAGCTCAGAGGCCGGCAGCGGCAGGCGGGGAACCTTGGCTTCCTCCATTACTGGAGCAAGGAAGCCTCCTGTTCGCTTCAGCTGCCTGGATGCCGGCCGCCATCTTGGTTGGCAGTTAATTTGCATATCTTGCTGATTAGCCAATGGGAAGGGTAGCGAAGTTACGGTTAATTACCATGTTTCTCTATTATTAGATAGGATGTGTAATATTTGCTCATAACCTATGCACATCCTCCCATATACTTTAAATCACCTCTACATTACTTATAATACTTAATACAATCTAAATGCTATGTAAATAGTTGTTATCCTGCATTATTTAGGGAATAATGACAAAAAAGAGTCTGTATATGTTCAGTACAGACACAGTACACATCAGCAACAACATAACCTTTCTACTTTTCCTGAATATTTTCAATCCACAGTTGGTTGAATCCATGCATGCAGAATCCATGGACTTGGAGGGCCCACTGTATTGCAAGAAATCTAGCCATTCATTCCCATCACCAAGATCCTCTGTGTGGGATATAGGGGAGAATGAACAAATAATCTCCATCCAAGAGAGACTCATTTTCTTGGGGAAAAAGCCAGGCTTTAGTTATGGCAAGAAAATGGGAAGTGTTCTTTAAAGAGTTCAAGAACTTACCACTGCTCCTTAAAAATAATAGGTTTCCCAAATAATAGTCAAAGAGTTGGGGGGAAAGTCAACAGTGGGAGGTTGAGTCAGGAGTGAAGCATCAGAGAGTAGTATAAAGTACGGGCTTATAGTTACTTTACAATACAAGCCATTTGGAATTTAAATGAAATAAAATTGAATAAGGTAGAACACTTAAATTCTATATGAGAAGCATAGAGAGTTTATAATGCTATTATTCCTCCATTTGAAGCGTCCTTTGGCTCCAAACTTCAACTTAGGAAAAGCATTATCTTGCAAAATATAAGGCAACAACCTCAGCACAACTCCTGTCCTCTACATAGTGAGAAGAAATCCAATTATGAGATTACACAGACTCAAAACCTACCCTGTTAGTTCAAATGCAGTAAGAGAAAGTTCTATTTTACTAAAGGACACTCTTGGCCTTTCATTTTTTAAATTTATCCATTTTGTTTTTAACACAGGTTGGACACAAATTGCTGAATAAGATTAAAAAATAATTTGGAAGTGTCAATGCTACAAAATTTGATTTATGACATTAAGAACACTTTGTAGCCCTAGCTGGTTTGGCTCAGTAGACAAAGCATCAGCCTACGGACTGAAGAGTCCCAGGTTCGATTCCGGTCAAGGGCACATGCCTGGGTTGCAGGCTCGATCCCATTGTGGGGCATGCAGGAGGCAGCAGATCAATGATTCTCTCTCATCATTGATGTTTCTATCTCTCTCCTTCTCCCTTCCTCTCTTAAATCAATAAAAACATTATATATGTGTGTGTGTGTGTGTGTGTGTGTGTGTGTGTATACATATATATATATATATATGTGTGTGTGTATATACATATATATATATATATATATATATATAATTTAAAAAGAACACTTTTGAAAAAGAGATGAAATAATCACATTAATCCACCTTCAAGATTAGAGATCATAGTTTTTCTTAATTTGATAAAAATATCAATACATTTAAAATGTTATCTGGCAAAAACAAAACATACCTGCTGGGGACACGTGAGGACAGCTGCTCATTTTTAGCAGCTTGAGCGTATCACTGTTGTTGGCCACCAGTACTTTGAGGGATGGATCATCTACTGGGGTATCATCTATCTTAAGTGAGGATAAGGATTTGGAGTTTACAAACACTACCGTCAGCGCAGAAATAAAGTGAGACTGAAAAGAAAGAAAAAAAAGAAAAAGAAAGAAAACTGTTTCAATTCTACAAATGCAAATTGAGGGAGTTGTAATACACACATGGTTCATTTGAACCCTAATGATATTATTTCATAACTATTTTGGGGACAGCATCCCCTTCACTCTGTTGAAGCACCTTTTTACCTTTGGGAGAAAAAAAAAAGACTTCAAGCCTCAGGATGTGTGTTTATATCACAGTTATTGGTAAGGAAAAACAGGAATTCTGGAATTCAGGTTGATAATACCTCTCAGACATTTCACATCACCTTATCTGAAACCCTACTCTCATGTTTTACAAACAATTAAATTGCATTAATTTTTGGTTTGATAGTAATGACCATTAAAACAGTAATAACTATTAGCATAATCATTAAAAATTAAAATAACAATCAACTCACAACCTAGGAAAGACTCATTTGGAATATGAAAGCTTATATAAAATTTGATTGTAAAATAATAAAAATCATACCTAAATAAAATTCCAAGTTTACAATGCCTTTAAATATGTTAAATTATCTATAACTAGAGGCCTGATGTACGAAAATTCATGCACTGGAGAAGGGTCCCTCAGCCCAGCCTGCCCCCTCTCACAGTCTGGGAGCCCTCAGGGTATGTCTTACTCTGTGGGAGGTGACCAGGCCAATCAGGGGAAGGCACCGCCCCCATTACCCCAGCACTGCTGCCACTGCCAGTCGCCGTGGCTGCCTATCCTTGGCCCTCGCAGCTGCCGCAGCTTTGTCCAGAAGGACGTCTGGCTGTCCAGTCTAATTAGCATATTATGCTTTTATTATTATAGAGACCCGGGGCACAAAATTTGTGCATGGGGTGTGGGGGGACCCCTCAGCCCAGCCTGCACCCTCTCCAATCTGGGACCCCTCGGGGGATGTCAGACTGCCTGTTTAGGCCTGATCCCACAGGCAGTTGGACATCCTTCTCGAAATCTGGGACCACTGGCTCCTGACCACTCACCTGCCTGCCTGCCTGATCATTCCTAACCACTCTGCCTGCCTGATCGCCCCAACCCCTCTGCCTGCCTGCCTGATGCCCCTACCTGCTCCCCTGCCGAGCTGATCGCCCCTAACCACTCTGCCTGCCGGCCTGATCGACCCTAGCCGCCTGTGCCTGCCAGCCTGATTGCCCATAACCGCCTGTGCCTGCCGGCCTGATGCCCCTAACCACTCTCCTCTGCGGCCTGATAGCCCCTAATCACTCTGCCTGCCTCATTGCCCCTAACCGCTGGCCTGCCTACCTGATCGCTCCTAACCACTCTGTCGGCCTAATCACCCCTAATTGCTTGCTGGGGGGCAAGGCCAGCCCTGCGAGGGGCTGTCTGCCTACCTGATTACCCCAACTGCTGGTCTGCCTGCCTGATTGCCTCTAACCACTTGTTGGGAGCGGGGCCAGCCCAGCGAGGGGCCGTGGTGGTTCTGGTCTCTGGTCGATCTGCTTACATGGCTGGCCTTTTATTATATAGGATACTAAGTTATCAGCTGGATACAGAATCTGACCTAAAGGAACCACTGTAGGGATACAGGAATTCAAACATGGTCAAGGCTGGGTGGCTCAGTCGGTTGGAGCATCATCCCATACACCAAAAGGTTGTGGATTTGATTCCCAGTCAGGGCACATAATAGGTTGTGGGTTCAATCCCAGTCGGGGCGAGTACAGGAGGCAACTAATCAATGTTTCTCTCTCTCCCTCCCTCTCTCAAAATCAATAAAAACATAGCCTTGGATGATGATTTCTAAAAAAAGGTTTAAAACAAAAGCATGGTCAAAGTATATGAGTTTGAATAAAAACTAAGAAGCCATAACCAGTGGATAAAGAATCCAGGAGGGGAAAGAGAGGTCAATACTTGGTCAAACATTTCTCTACAGAGCCAATCTGACCTTCCCTTTAGCTTTATAAATTTACTTCAGCAGTAAACTGGGAAGAGGGCAGGCTAATAGTCACAAAGTACAGCTGACCCTTGAACAAGATGGGTTTGAACTGTGTAGGGCCACTTATATGTGGATTTTTTTTAAACTGAAAAATCTCAAATTTCATGTAAGTGGATCCGCGCAGGTTAAATTGGGGTTGTTCATGGGTCAATTATATTCGATCCACAGCTGGAAATCCCAACATGCTGAAGGCCAGATTTTAGAATGCTCAGGAGTGGGTACTCCCAACCCTATGTTGTTCAAGGGTCAAATGGAAAATGAAACACTATCTTCTTAGTCACATTCCTTTTTTGTACTGTAATTAAATAACTGTTTACTATTTATATTTTGATTAACTATTTTACTATTTAAATGCTAATATTTTCCTATCAAACTCAATTATATCTCATACAACCACATTTCTTCATTAGTATACTCATAACCACATCACTGCCTTCATTTTCCCATTTCCCTCAGATTTAGCTTTGATCAAATAGACTTCTTTCATGTTCTCTTTGGTTCTCACAAGATTTCCAAACTATAGCAACACTTTATTTCAATCTCTACAGAAGCCCTAATAGGAAAAGAAAAAAAGAAAAACAGTACAAGCATCCGAGGCCCATCTATATAATAAAAGCCTAAGTGACTGTTTATGGAGGAATGACCGGTCACTATGATGCTCATTGACCACCAGGGGGCAGACGCCCAACGCAGGAGCTGCCTCCTCATAGTCCGTGCGCTCCCACAGGGGGAGCACTACTCAGTCAGAAACCGGGCTCACTGCTGCTGAGCAGAGCAGCAATGGCGGGAGCCTCTCCTGCTTCCACAGCAAGGCTAAGAAGCAGCAACAGAGCGGTAAGGAGTGAGCAAGAGGGTGGTAAGGAGGGAGGGGTCCCGGACTGTGAGAGGAATGTCCAACTGCCGGCTTAGGCCTGATCCCTATATGTCTCTTTTCTAATATGCTTGTTTCTCAGTTTTAGTCTCTTTTAAAACTATAGAATCTAACTTCATTCACTCTTCAACCTTACTCATAAAAAAAGGAAGTTTTTTTTTAAAAAATCCTATTTACATTCTACATAGTAACTGATTTTCTATTATACTACTACTTTTCTTACATTCCCAATGTCAGTATAAGAAATGGATAGGGTTTCAATGATTTCTCAGTAACAGCTAATAAAAGAAAACCAGCAAGATACCTTTGGTAAATCCATAAAACTTGGCCGAGCAGTTGAAATAAGTCCAAGTGTTTTTAAAGAGCAATTCACAAGTTGTGATAATATATCACAAGCTGCTTCAGCTGATTCTTTGCTGCTGTCCACCTTAGAAGAGAAAACACCATTTACCCATCGGTATATTTACATTATTCTGTGCATTTCTTAACTTTACAAAAGCAAAAAATAGTTATTAGTTTATTGCATTATAACTTAAAGAATTTATATTCTTTTGATCACCCACCCTCACATAAATATGAATATATATCAACCTAACTCTTCACCAAAGTTTTCTTTAAATAAAATCTGTAAATTAATCCAAGCTGTACTGACACTAACTTTGCTCAAGAATACATCTTTACAGTACCAGACGATGTTTATAAGCAAGCATACCTGCTTTCAATACTGACACTGTCCACTTTTCTTTGATTTTTTAATTTCACCAATCTGCTCCAAATGTCCAAAATGGCACACCTACACGTCTCTTTTTCTTTTCTTTTATTTTTTTAAATATATTTTTATTGATTTCAGAGAGGAAAGGAGAGGGAGAGAGAGAGATAGAAACATCAATGATGAGAGAGAATCATTGATCAGCTGCCTCCTGCACGCCCCCTACTGGGGATCAAGCCTGCAACCCAGGCATGTGCCCTTGACGGGAATTGCACCTGGGACCCTTCAGTCTGCAGGCCAATGCTCTATCCACTGAGCCAAACCAGCTAGGGCTATGCCTCTTTTTCTAATATACTTGTTTCTCAGTTTTACCTTGTCTCTTGTAGGACTTTTCTGAGTCACCCTGAGAAATTATAAGGGCAGAACTTAACTTTCAATATGAAAAGATATATATTTAATGTTAAAAGAACTTGGCTTTGAGTTTATTTATTCCAAACTGACTATATAACCTAATGAAATGCATAAAATTTATCTTTGAAAAATAATTATATATTTGGTAATGGGTACAATCATACATATAAGTACATTATGTATAATACCCATGTTACAAGACACAAGAAACTGAAGTATTTACTCAGAAGGTTCAAATAAATCTCAACTGGGGATTCACTGTCAATGATATTACTGAAAAAATGAATGCAAAGTGAAATTAGGGACTCCAACCAGTCAAGCATGAAAATGTGAAACAAAGTAGCTGCTCCTACACACACTTCTGCATAGATATATCTAGGTAGAAGGGTAACATGTCCAAAAAACGCAAGAGTTTTTGTTTGTTTTTTTCAAAAAGGAAGTTCCTCCTTGGGCTAAAAAGAATAGTTTAAAGTATTGTGTTTACTTTAATTACAGATTGATGTACATTACCTTAACCCCAAAATGTTCTGAGGATCTGGTTGTACAACTGCCGTACTGATTTGTGTTAAAGTTTCAGAGCCTTTTATAATATCCTTTGGCTAAGTTTCTCTACACCAGTGGTTCTCAAAGTGTGGTCCCTGGACAGCAGCATCAAATATCTCCTGGAAAGTTGTTAGAAATGTTAATTCTCATGGTCAATCCAGACCACCGGAATCAGAAACCTTGAAGGTGGGAGCCAGCAATCTTTATTGCAACACACACTCTTGGTGGTTCTGATTGCCCCTAAAGTTGGAGAACCCCTGTTCTACACTAACAACGGACCAAAGTTAGTAATGAATTAAATACAAATTTTATCAGGGGAGGTCAGAAAAATCCTGTGATGTGGCTCTTTTTGCAAATCAGAAATTATTTCCTCAGCAAAATAAACAATAAAATAAAAATGTTTAAACTTATAGGACAAGTGGTTTTGTGAGGATTATACAAGTTGGATGCAGTTGAATTATCACAGGGCTGTAAAAGATTAACACTGATCCAGCCAATTCAATGGATGGACTTGATCTTTTGACCTATGTGATTAACATATTATACTAATTTTTTTTTACAGAATTTACCATTAGAACATTCTGAGACAACTCAAAGATGAATGAAACCAAAGGGAAGGCTCTTGAGTTTTCTAAACCAGGAAGCTGGGGAGAGACAACACATGAGAAGTTTCCAGCTTTTTGTTTGTTTGATCCTCCTACCTTCTCCCACGCTTTCCCCCAATTAGGGTTGCCAGATAACATACAGGACATCCAATGAATAAGTATGAAGTATGTTCTAAATAATGCAAGGGACATATTTATACTAAAAATTATCTGTTGATTATCTGAACTCAAATTTAACTAGGCATCCTCTATTTTTATTTGCTAAGTCTAACAATCCTACCTTCAGAGGCCTATGAGCCTTTATGCATTTTTCTAGGAAGGAGGCCATTATACACCCAACCATTCCCATCACCAGTTCTCTCCTCATTCTTGGACACATACTGGGTGAATAAGCTGGTCATCTCCATCGAAGGAATAACATTTTTGGGAGCAGATAAGACTTCAGTTTTGGTAAGGAACACTGGGTAAGAATCACGATTTCATCTAGGTTTAACTTTACCTGTTTAATAACTGCTACATATAATTAAATCAGGTATTCAGATGTCACTTTTCAACAATTACCAGTGTTACTCATTTAGTAAATAAGCATGCCCATATTCCATTATTCATCCCCCAAACAAAACATTACAAACATCTGACCTTATACAAACCACCGTGATTCCTTAAATTATTCTAGACATCTCAAAAAGCCACCCCACTTTATCTCATCACTGCATGATTTCAGTATGTCCCTTCCAGCAATGAAAAGAACCAAACAGTTCTTTTGGCATTCTTCTGTGTACCTTTTTCTATACCTCTCTAAAATATGTTCTTTAAATCAGCGGTTCTCAACCTGTGGGTCGCAACCCCTTTGGGGGTCAAACGACCCTTTCACAGGGGTCGCCTAAGACCATCAGAAAACACATATATAATTACATATTGTCTTTTGTGATTAATCACTATGCTTTAATTATGTTCAATTTGTAACAATGAAATTGGGGGTCACCATAACATGAGGAACTGTATTAAAGGGTCGCGGCATTAGGAAGGTTGAGAACCATTGCTTTAAATCTTTTACATAAGAGCTCTGTATCTCCTTTTTCTTTGAAGACCCCATATCATAAAGCCATTAATAAGCAAACTCAGTCCCTATTAGGTAGGAACAAGAATTAAGTGTTAGTTATAAGCTCCACATCTAAAAAATGTTACTGTATATTTGTTTTCCCTCAAAGTGTCCTCAATAATGTGTTTGACAGCTTTGGTCAATGACTTATGCTTATTTAGTGGATGCTTTTGCTCTTTTAAGAAATTAGTAATTATAATAAAATGGAGTAATTAAGCTCAAGTATAATTATTTGCTACAGCTTCTAAGGAACCTGATAATTCTAAATCTTTAAGCAGTTTCCCTGAAAAGCAATTTCAAAGACATGAGAAGATGAATTGATTTAAGACACAAAGGTCACTAAATATGCTTTATTTTTTTAAAAGAAGGATTTAAAGTATTACCTTGAAGCTGACATATTGCAGATGGTTTGAATGTCTTTTAATGATCTGTTTGATCAGCTCTGGATGTGTAGCTTTCAAGTAAGATGTAGCTGGCTGATTCAGTTCAAATTCAAAACACCTCCATAAGTCAGGCATGTGAAATACCTGGTTCCAGTTGCGGCAAACTTGTGAAGCATGAGCCCGATCAAGGAGAGGCAAATACTTAAATACTTGGAGAATAATGTCCTGAAGAAGATTACCCCAATCACAAGTCTGAGAATGCTCATTTATAGTCCTCAGTTTCTTGGATTTCTCTGCAGTATCTTCTTCTGATGAATTATGGTCACTATCGCTTCCTCCTCGTTTCATCCTATTCAGAAAAACGCATAATTTTTTTCATACTTAAACTTCTGAAGAAAGTAAATTCAAAAGTCATTTTTCTGTCACTGAGATGTGTATATATGTATTTGCAAAAACAAACATGCAGAAAGAACTAGGCCAGTAATTCCAAGAGTACCAAAACAAAATATAATGAAAACATAAGTGGAGACCAACTATCATCTTACAAATTTTATACAGGTGCTTAAACATTTGTATTTATATTGTACTATTTTGGGGGGAAAGTTGATCATGATTTTGAAACAAAACCAAGAATTTATGTTTTAAAAGTTATAGTCAGCTGCCCTTGCTGATGTGGCTCTGATAGTTGGAGTGTCGTTCTGTACACCGAAAGGTGGCAGGTTCAATTCCGTGTCTAGGTACGCATGGGAGGAAACCGGTCAATTTCTCTCTTTCCCTCTAAAACCAATTTTTTTAAAAAAAGTTCTAGTCAATTAACTAAAAGAGAACCTGCAATGACACTTTACTGGTGTGGCTCTGGAACTAAGCTCCCTGGGTTTGAATCCTGGCTCTATGACTCACTGGTTATGTGGCCTTGAACAAGTTACTTGACCTCCCTGTGCTTGTTTGTAAAATGAAGATAACACACAGGGTTCTTGTGAGGAATTAAATAGTACTAGGGCTTTTGAAAGGAGACAGATAACTGTTAAACTCAGTTACAGCAAAGCAGTCCAGTACTAAAGACATCAAAGTACATGACACAAAATAGAAAAAATGATCCTGTTTGTTTTAAAACAAAGTGTGTGTGTGTGTGTGAGAGTGCATGAATACACATTTATGTATGAGAAACACTCTGGAAGTAGGTTCACCACATTAATATTGTAACTAACTATAATAGTGGGATTATATTAATTATATTAATAGAATATTGTATTATATTGGAATTTAATAGTGGTGGAATTACAGGTGAACTTTTTTTTTCCAATATGCTTCTCTATATTATACACATTTATTTTAATTTCAATAAATTACACTATAATCAGATAAAAAGATCTTGTTTCAATTTGGCTTTTAGTTGTTTTTGAAAAGTATTGCAGACTCTAAACTAAATGGGTCTTATTTACTTCAGAGCCTGCAATATTTTTGTCTTTAAACGGCAATTGTGGCATGATAATGGTTCGAATTGGAGTCATTGTTTTTGAAAAGAATGACTGGCTCCAACTTTCTTCTTGGCACATTAGTATATAAGAATTTCCAATTCCTGTGTGGGATGAAGGATGTGCAAATACATGAATTTTAACCAAATATGTTTCCAGATTTTCTCTCTATCCAATAGCTAGCAATATTTGTGAAAAAGGAAGGGGGAATGCAGGGAAAGGGCATGACAGAGACCCCCTGGTCTTTATGGCATTAAAATCAGCCCAGGAGGTCTTAGCCCATGTGCAATAAACTGCTTTTTCCTCATTGCTCCTATTTCCAACTATGCGAGTTAAGTGAATGATGTATATCCTTTTGAGCAAAGGGAGAAGGGAAAAAACAGAATGACAGAGGTGATGGCAAGAGGATAGCTGTGCCCTGGCTGGTTTTGCTCAGTGGATAGAGCATCGGCCTGCAGACTGCAGGGTCCCAGGTTCCATTCCGGTCAAGGGCACATGTCTGGGTTGCGGGCTTGATCCCCAGCAGGGGGCTTGCAGGAGGCCCATCAATAATTCTCTCTCATCATTGATGTTTCTATCTCTCTCTCTGAAATCAATAAAAACATATTAAAAAAAAAAAGAGGGTAGTTGTATGGAAGACTAAAACTTATGTGTGAATCTATGAATGCATATTTTAAAATGTGTTTAGAGAAAAGATAGTATAAACTACAATGTAACCTTTAATATTAAAAAATCTCTCCCAGTAATGATGTCCTACTAGAGGTTGAAATAACACTGTCATTATGACCCATTTTTCTGCTTTAGCTTATCCTGAAGGCTTACTTTAATTTTAGCATATAAAATTTGGGTCAAAGAACAAAGAGTTTGCCACCCAGGGCTTGTAATTTCTCTTCTGGCTATCTAAAACTCTTTAGTTTTTTGAGATACAGAGATTCAAAAAAGAATGAAGCCATGTTTATAATTTCTACTCCCTATCATAGAATGCTGAACGCCTATTTTTGGAGAAATGTCTTCTAAAACCAGAACTGTTCAACTTAAAAAGGAAATGATTCATCTTACTTTAGAGCAGCGGTTCTCAACCTGTGGGTCGTGACCCCTTTGGCGGTCGAACGACCCTTTCACAGGAGTCACCTAAGACCATCCTGCATATCAGATATTTACATTACGATTCATAACGATTCATTACAGTTATGAAGTAGCAACGAAAATAATTTTATGGTTGGGTCACAACATGAGGAACTGTATTTAAAGGGCCAGAAGGTTGAGAACCAGTGTTTTAAGTATATGGACACACAAACAAAAATGACAGTCTTATCCAAGCAAATATCTTTGTTAATACTTTGCTGTTCCTAACAACACATTCTTTTGTCTGTTACAGTTCTGTTTTAAATAAAGTATATTTCAATACCTTTCCAAGTTGAGGGGAGAAAAGTTGACATATTAAAAACAAGTATGCAACACTGAGGAGTAGTATCTCTTCATCTACATCAGTGGTCAGCAAACTGCAGCTCGCGAGTCACATGCGGCTCTTTGGCCCCTTGAGTGTGGGTCTTCCTAAGCCTTAGGAGTACCTAATTAAGTTAATAACAATGTACCTACCTATATAGTTTAAGTTTAAAAAATTTGGCTCTCAAAAGAAATTTCAATCGTTACACTGTTGATATTTGGCTCTGTTGACTAACGAGTTTGCCGACCACTGATCTAGATATTAAGACTAAATGACCACCAAAGTATATTTTAAGCATTTACTAGTTTATAACTAGCCAAAAAAAATCTGTAATTTATTATATATAATGATTGTAAGATGTCAGAATTATAGTACATCTAGCAACAGAAAAAACTCTAAGCCAAATGCCAATAAAAATGGTCTCTGCATCGTCCTCATTTATGCATGAAAATAACAGAACACAGTGGGCACCTAATAAAATTTTTAAGTATCATTTTTTTCCAAGATGATCTCATTTATCAATGCAAAAATGTACATTGCTTTCCAAAGTATTTTATTAAATCTACTTACATATGAAGCTCTGCTATATCAAAAGTTAATTCAACCCAGCCAGTGTGGCTCAGTGGTTGCATGTCAACCCATGAACCAGGATGTCAGGGTTCCATCCCCGGGGTGTGGGCTGGATCCCCAGTGGGGAATGTGCAGGAGGCAGCAGGTCAATGATTCTCTCTCATCACTGATGTTTCTCTCCCTCTCCCTTCTCTCTGTGAAATCAATACATACATATACATGTATTTTTAAAAATTAATTCAAAGCGTCCATCAGTCTGCAAAGAATTTACATCAATGAACTATTTCCTACATTTAGCCAAAGTGAAGCATCTCATATATTTATTTAAAGAAAAGGGCAGTCCTCGCTGGTTTGGCTCAGTGGATAGAGCGTTGGCCTGCGAACTGAAGGGTCCTGGGTTCGATTCTGGCCAAGGGCACATGCCCGGGTTACAGGCATGATCCCCAGAAGGGACATGCAGGAGGCAGCCGATCCATGATTCTCTCTCATCATTGATGTCTCTCTCTCTCTCCCCTCTCCCTTCCTCTCTGAAACCAATAAAAATATACTTAAAAAAATAAAGAGAAGCGCAGAGATGGAAGCTGGACAATAAATGTCAGAGAGACTTTGTAGAGCACCAAAAACCAAGTCTCTTCAGGGCTCCGGCAGTTCAATTTCAAACTGCAACTTTTCCTGGCCCCAAATAATTAATGCAACTTGGGCCACCAGAGCATTTGGTGGGGGACTGATATTCCCACCAACGGCCAAAAAGCAAAGGAATGCGGGAAGACTGCGGACTAGCGGAGCAGCACAGGGGGTTGCAGAGCGAGCAGTCACACCTCCTCCCCGGGGGCTGGGGCGAGCAGCGGAGAACGCTCACTGGGTGCCCCGCTCACTGGGTGCCCCTCGTCTCATCAGGCACTGCCAGTGCCCTGGGCTCCTGGTCGTTTTAGAAGCTCTTCTGGACTGAGCTCTAAACAGCTCGTTTTGGCATCACAGCTCCTCCCCATTTACGCTCTCCCTTCACTAACATTAAAATGAACACGCACTCTCCGGCTGGAATACAAGCATAAGCCCGTGGAAAGGGATGACTCTCAGAGCTAGCCGGCGGGGAAAGCGTAGTGATGGCGTTCTGCCTAGTGGTCATCTGTAGGTAATTGGGGGCGATGGCAATTTTAGAGCTATTTCAGGGATGGTAAAAAAAATGAAAATAAAAAAATAAAGATCGGGGCCATTCGACTGGGTATCATCAGCAACAAAATAGAAATTTCAGCTCTTGGCTCGGAGACGCAGGCCATTTCACAGGCCGCGTCCCATCCCACTCCGTGGCCTCGAGCAGGGAAGCTGCCCGCGGGGCGCAAGTTGACCAAGTTTTCCACTGGGCCCCGCCCCGCGCCGCCGCCCCGGCCGCCTCGCTGACATTCCTCCGGCGCCCCGCCCTGGACTGTGTTGACATCGCAAAGCCCCCGTTTCTCATGCTCCAAGCAGGGGCGCAGCCCACCCCGGGAGGAGCCCGGCGGGGCGCGAGCGGCACGGTGCCCGCCACCCGCACGCGCCCCGCGAGAACGCCAGCGACGGCGCGGAAGGGCTCGCCGCCCCGCACGCGCACCGCGCCCGGCTGACATGTTGTGAAGCAGGCGAGCGGGAACCGCCCCCGAGCAGGCTCCAAGGTCCGGGCGCCCGCCGCGCCCCCAGCCCTGCCCGGCGCGCCGAGGGGCGGCTCGCGCGCGCCCGGGACCCCCCCAAACCCCGCGCTGCCAGCCCGCCCAGTCGGAAGAGCGCCCGGCCCCGCGATGGCCGCGGGCTCCGGCTCTGCCCCCGCCGTTACCTGCTGTCGCGGGCGGCTGCCCCCACGCACCACCCGGGGCTCCAGGGACGGCGGCTGCTGGGTCCGCGGCTTTCACGTGCGACCCCCCTGGCCCCGCGCTTCCGGCTCCCGCCGACGCGGCCCCCCGCGCTCCGCCCGCATCCGAGGCGCTGGTCCCGCGACGGGCGCCAGTGCGGCTCCACCTCTGCGGCCCCGGCTGCCCAGCGAGAAGCCTGCCTTCTCGGTCCCGCGCCGCCCGCGTCCTCCTCCCGGGAGTCCTCGTCGCGCTGACAGACGCCCCTCTGCGAGCTGGCGGCCGCCGCGTAGGTCCCGCGCCACGGCCCAGACAGCGTCTCCAAGATGGCGCCGGGCTCGCGGGCGCGCTCTCTCCCCGGCGCGTCCCCGCGCGAGGGCGGGAGTGGGCCGCTCCCACGCGCCGCCTGCGCAGCGGGTCCTTCCGCCTCCCGGGTCCGTAGCGTGAGTCGGGGCGTTCCTCCTCCAGCTTTAGGGATCTTTCGATTTGAATCCGTAGTGGGCGGGCTGGAGCCCAAGAGAGAATGTGCGGGGGGAACTGGAAAGTTTAGGGAGCGGGGCGGAAGGACGGGAGGAGGGAGTGTCCGGAGCCCCGGGATCCTGCTGCCGGGGCAGGGCCGGGGGTAAACAGGCGCGCGGACCGCTGGCGCCGGGACACACCTCCGCGGGGGGGCGGGGCCTCGGGCGGCCACGCCTGCGCCACGGACCCGGCAGGTAATACAGGCTCTGAACGTGTGCAGACCTGTGTACAGAAGGTGTTTTTAAAAACAGCAAGGAAATATACCAGCAGGTGACTGTGTTAACGCAGGGAGTACAGATGAACTTTAGATTTAAAATGTTTGTATTTCCTAAAAAGGAGTTATTACTTTTAAAAAAACCGCCTCTACTTTGTAAGGTGGATAGACTCCTGAACTTTGTGAATAGCTTTGTGCAACCCAATAAGGAAAGGGTAAAGGAGTAGTAGATGGTTATTTAAAAGAAAAACCTCCGCTGAAGCTTTTTTGTAAATCCAAGCATCTTTGTAACTGCTACTTACTTGTTTTAACTGTTTGGATTTGGGGGTACTGGGATTTCTGAAAAAGTTATAATGTCCTTAGGTGCAAAATCATACCTTGAATCATGCACCATCCTTCCTGCCTCCCTCAAAAATAGAGTATTTTCCACCTAAAGATGTCTTCTCAATCATTTGAACCATGTGTAAGATACTACAATGCAGGGATGCCCAGGGGGCCCTCCACTCTTCCACTTCCCCGGGAAAACTGAGCTAGGAAGTCATGTGTAAAATTACATTCAGATTCATTGTGGGCCAGTGCCAGTGGTTTTTTTTGTGGGGGGAAACCTGACGATCTGATTATCAAGTGGAACTGAACAAAGTCTCTGCAACATAAAAATGTGCTTGTACCTGTTTTTGCAACATTTTTTAGGTTCCTCCGTGACTGGATGATGAAGGACAATAGGAAGTTTTAAGACTGGCAATGATAATTATTAGAGGGAGAAAAAAAATCAAATGCAGGCCCATTTATTTAAAGCTAGGTTAACATTATAAATGATCAGCAAAACACATTAAATTAAATCAGCAAACATAAAGAGTATATAGGGTGTCCCTCCAAAATGTATACACATACTTTAACAGCTGATATCTCAATTTTGAAAATGAAATGCATTTTAATAAGCACTGCCTTTTTAACTATTCAAAGTGTGTGTATACATTTTTTGGAGATGCCCTGTATATTATGCCACATTAACACTTTCAACTCCAACTGTAGTCCCTTTTTAATTCCTCATTACAAGCTATCCTCTCCTTAAAGAAGACAAGGATTTTGGAACACTTTAACCTATCAAATGCTTCCTCCTATTATTTAAAAATGTTATTTCATCTTTTTGAAAAAACAAAACAAAAACTTGTACTTTTTTTTTTTTAAATCAGTAGATACTTATTTACATTTATCAATTGTGGTGGGGGGAGGAGGATAGCTACTGAATAGTTTGGCCCAGCAAGGAAAAATATTTTAATACTGCCCTAGCCAGTTTGGCTTAGTGGATAGAGCATCAGCCTGCAGACTGAAGGGTCCTGGGTTCGATTGTGGTCAAGGGCATGTATCTTGGTTGCGGGTACATCCCCAGTAGAGGGTGTGCAGGAGGCAGCTGATTGATGCTTCTCTTTCATCAATGTTTCTAACTCTCTATCCCTCTTCCTTCCTCTCTGTAAAAAAATCAAATAAATATATTTTAAAAAATATTTTATTACTGACCCTGTTTAGTATTGCCAATGCATGTGATAATAAAAAGCAAACCGTTTAACTCAGCTTTATCCCTTCCTTGGGTGCTTGAATTTGTAACCCAGGAGCTATAGGTGGTCATTTTCTACCACATCATCTGGAAAGCAGAAAAAGGTGTCCTGTGATGAGAAAGAACAACAGCAAAAGAGATGCAGAAAGGACCTACAGGAGGGCTGACTCAGAGCAGCCCTGATTCTACTCTATTTCCACTGACTGGAGGAATCACAGTGATTGCATTTTTTTTTCTTGTTTGCTGAAGTTATTTTGAATTTGTTTTCTTTTGCTTGCAACCAAAACTCCTTACCAGTGTACACTTGACCTGGGAGGCTCCTCCTTGGGTCTCAAATGAGTTTTCCTTCTAACTGAAAGGCAGTCGTGGAATTTGGTCTCACTGCATCCTGCATCTGGGAGTGAGGGTGGGCTGGACATCTCCATAGCTGCCTTTAACCATGGCTAATTCTGCCTTGTAACATTAGGGATGCTGGTAACTGGGGCTGGGCCAGTCTAGATGGAGCCCCAGGAGAATGGGCATGACAACTACCCCCTTTGGATGGATTTTCTGCCTAAATTGACAGACGAACCATAGATCTTACTGTGAGAAAGGTACATGAAGTTATTTCCTGATGGGCAGGTTGAAAAGCAGTTGAGCTGAAGAGGAGCAGAGCTTTTAATTTTAATCATTCCTTTGAATCATACAAGGAAAGGGCCTTATAGAGTGTTCTTTCCCACCTCTTTTCCTCTCTCCCCAAATCTCCTTTTTCTAAAGTTTTCTTCTCTCGGTTCCTCCAATCTGGTATCGAGGAGGAGCTCTTGTCTCCTCATCCCCTTCCTGGATCTTGCAAATTTTGAGAGCCACAAGTCTCCACTGCTTAGTCAAAGCTGCTCCAGATCTGGAGGGAGAAGGTGTGCAGCTTAGGTTTTGACCCTGATTCTGCCTGCACTGGAAATGCAAGCTTGGACAAGTTCCAACTTGAGTTCTTTGTGCTTCCGTTTCCTCATCTGTAAAATAACAGCAACAACTACCAAAAAGTTGGCACGAGTAGTAAATGAGTTAACTTAATCACATAGGGCAGTTGCAGGCATATACTAGTAGTTAATTGTAGGGAGCAGGTATAGGGTTAAGCCTGGGACTGACCTATTGGCAAAGCCACAAACAAGTCCCAGCTTAGAGGGCACCTTCCTCTTAGCATAATTAGGCTTGACCTTATGATGCTCCCTAGATCTTATCTGGATAGCTAATGGGCTGTGGGAGATGGAGCAAGCCCTGCCAAAACAAGTGAAACTCACAAGAACATTGTAACTACGGTGACCACTACCTTGTTTACCTCTGGCTATAAAATAAAGGCTCAGCTTGCCTCTGGATCTCTCTCTGTGGCCTCAGCTGGGCACAGGAAGATCCACCTAGACCAGCCGTGGGCAAACTACGGCCCGCGGGCCAGATCCGGCCCGTTTGAAATGAATAAAACTAAAAAAAAAAAAAGACCGTACCCTTTTATGTAATGATGTTTACTTTGAATTTATATTAGTTCACACAAACACTCCATCCATGCTTTTGTTCCGGCCTTCCGGTCCAGTTTAAGAACCCATTGTGGCCCTCGAGTCAAAAAGTTTGCCCACCCCTGACCTAGACCCAGCTTATTCTCTTTGTCTTTTCTTCATCCTTCGCTGCCCCCCCTCAGGCTCACTGAACCCTTGGCTGTGCTGGCTACATTGCTGCTGTTGTTGCTCTAACTGCATGATGAGTGAGGACACACACTTCTCCTTGGCATCTTGCTTCAACAACCCCAAATCTCTCCTTAGTTTCTCCAACATATACACCCCTCTCTAGAGAATTAGCCTAACTAAACCATCTCCATTTAAGCCATCACTTTGAATTTTAACACTATCTAAGATTACACTGTGAGTTCCTCAAAGGAAAGAAGTATGCTCTGAGACTCTGACAAGAACCTTTATCAACTCTTCCCGAGATCAGTTGGAACTTTCCAACGGGTCTCCAGGGGTAGTGATTTTCAGTGATCTCCTGACCCGCTTCCTGAATGATATTCCTAAACCACATGTCTTTTGCTCAAAAAAATCCAAGATTGGTGATAAAATTCAAAATATTGAGAAAGAGATTCTAGGCCAGTACTGTACATTAGAAATATATGCAAGCCACATGTGTAATTTAAAATATTCTAGAAGCCACATTTTTTTTTAAAAAGTAAAAAGGAGCAGGTGAAATTAATTTTAGTAGTAATTTTATTTAAATACTAGAGGCCTATTGCACGAAAAGATTTGTGCAACAGGCCTTCCCTTACCCTGGCTGCCGGCACCGGTTTTCCTCTGGCACCTGGGACCCAGGCCTTCGCTCCGGCCGGAGCCACCTTCAAGCCTTCGCTGCTCCAGCCGGAGCCACCTTCAGTCTTTGCTCTGCCGCTTTGTGCCTATGTATGCAAATTAACTGCCATCTTTGTTGGCAGTTAATTTGCATATCTTGCTGATTAGCCAATGGGAGGCGTAGCAAAGGTACAGTCAATTACCATGTTTGTCTGTTATTAGATAGGAGGATATACCTAGTATATCTAAAATATCATCTCAGTATGTAAGCAGTTTTTAAATTATTGAGATATTAACACATTGTTTGCAGGTAGTTTTTATCGCGCGCTAACAGGTGGCGTGGGCCATTTTTGCTAATTTTTTGCGCAAATGGCAACATTCAGTAAAATTACGGTAACTTTAGTTTACGTATTTATACGTTACCCGCATTCTACCGCTAGTCTATAAAAAACATATTAATATGTGTCCCGCACTCTACTACCAGTCAACGTAAAACGTATAAATACGTTTCCCGCATACAATGTGT